TCAACTGTAATTAATACATTCAGTTTTTACTTTTACTGCCAATTATCTGGCATTAGAGATATATGTTAACTACTTTTTTCAATTATAAAAGTAATGCATGTTAATAGATTCAGAATAATGAAAAATAAAAGATCAAGATCTCTCTCCCAAGTTGTAGCCCCCTAACTAGACAGAATCAGTGATATCCAAGGTGAAAGGAAGGGACAGACCAGACCAAGAACTCAAAGAATGCAATACAGAGAGCTTAGAGACAGACCAGCAACATCTGGTTGCTGGTGAAAGGAAGAGACAGACCAGACCCTTCTTCTTAAAAGAAGGGTATAAACCAGGTCAGAGAGTCTCTGAAAGTTCATGAGAAGTATGTGAGAGCTCCCTGAGGTCTGAGTAAAGACTGGAAAGGAGAAGGAATGGAGGTAAAGAGATTAACCACAAATTTTACCATATGTGAATATCATTGATATCTGAAGTATTTAGCTGTATACCAGACGGTAAAGATGCAGATGTGTGATGCTGTGTTCAAAAATGGGTAGAATAATAGAATATAAAATCTGCAATCTGAGGATAGTGATAAAGCAAACTTCGTTCCTGCCATTTTCCGATGAGGAAAACAAGAACCAGTACACACCTACAATCATCATGATTCTATGCGCTCTATTGGCTAATCCATAACATTCTATGCTATATCCAACAAGTAAAGTTTCTTTTCTAGGACATCTTTGAAAAGCGAAACAACAACAATAAGAATGGAGCAAGAGGTTGGAGACAAAAGCTTCACTATGTTAACAAGGGAAAGGATGATAATAAGTATCCAAAAGAAATGGGAATAATGATAAGAAGAACAATAATATGTGATGCTGAGCATTTTCTATACATTATAACATTTAAGCCACCCAACAACCTTATGAGGGGAATGATTACTGCCATTTTACAGGTAATATTTATAGTAACAATAGGTGCCACTTGCTATATGCCTGAATGAAAGGTCAGGTGTTTATATTTCAAGAGAGGAACCTAATGAAAGAGGAGCAGGAGGTCCACTGGTTTTTAATACACTAAATTGATAGCCAAATCCACCCTGCTACAGAAGTCAATGGAAATCTCTGCAATGTATTTATTAAATAATTCAAGCAAATATTTATTGACTGCCTACTCTATTCAACCATAGTGCTAGGTAGTGAATAAAAGCATTCTGATTAGAATTCAGTTCATAAAACCCTTTGAATAAGTATACGAGTCAACATTTGGGGTGGAAACTTCAGCTGCCTGGGCAGCATCCTCTATGACATTCATTCCCTGTACAACAGATGGATAGTCCAAGGACTTGACCCAGTTTCAAGAGTGGGTCCCTGATCAGTCAAGACCAGTGTTAAAATTTCTCTACTCTTGCCAGAGTGACCAGTTCAGGAATGGCCAGACACAATTTGGGCTAACGACATGCAAGGAGCACTGTATTTGGGGATTTTAGGAAATAGCACACTCTTTCTCAAGGTATAACTTCTGCAACAAGCCCTCTTTCACTTTTCTCATGTCAGAAAGAAAGTACGCAGTCCTAGCAGCTGATAGCAGACAGTTGAGGCCATCAAGAAAAGCCAGCACTGGAAGAAGATGACCCCATGGAAGGCAGAGTGGAGACATAAAGAAGCTTGTTCTGGAGATCAGATGGAGCCACTGTGTCAAACCCACTGGTAGACTGCGAGCTATGCAAGCCCCCAAATCCCCTCTGTTGTTGAAGCCAGTTTGTGTTTGGGTATTCTGTTATTTCCAACTGAACACATCCCGATAGAAACATCACTCCGCCTATAAGAGTTCCTTTCTCTTTCTATTTAAATAGGTAAGCCATTTTAAAATCACATCTCTAGCCACGTTCCAGTAAAAGCCAACCTCAAAACTAATTAGGGGCAGGAACTGTGTTCATACCCACCAAGTCCCCAACATTTTGTAAAGTCTATTAATGTTACTTTTGTAGGTTCTAAAATCATCAAATTTAATCCCCAAATAACTCTGTGGAGGTAAAGGGAGGACTGGCTTGAGAAATAAGTAGCTCAGAAGGATAAAGCTGAAGTGCTAACTTTTTGGCAATGGACTTTTTCTATGGTTATATCAAAAAATAGAATTCTTTCTATTCATTTTGTTACTTACGGATACAATACCTGTTGAAGGAACCAATTAACAGAGGCTAGAAGAAGAGTTGATATGAAAAGTAAAGTAAGATGCTTATTTTCTAGATTTACTTACAAAAACAATGTTCTTTCTGCACATAACACTTTCTACCCTCAAACATACATACATAAAATTTTCTTTTTTAAATTTAGAGATGGTTGCACAGGCTGGCCCCAAACTTCTGGCCTCAAGCAATCCTACCAGTTCAGCCCCCCGCATAGCTGGGACTACACACGTGAGCCACTGCATCCAGCTAGTTTTTATTATTATTTAGAGGGTTTTCCTATGCTGCCCAGGCTAGGTGATGCAACTGTTTACTTAAGCGTCGAGTTTATCCAAGAAATTAATCTTATACCAAGTAAAGAAGGTAGTCTGTGGTGTTAAAAACACCACTACACTTTAGTCTCTGCTATATTATGAAATTTAGTGCTATAACTTCTGCATTTGCAAAGAAAGGCAGTCATTAGAATTTTGGCCTCACAAAATCTTTATCTCGATGATTACTGTGGGTAAAATAATGAATCCAAATTCCTGTAAAGCCTCAATATCTCTGGTCCTGTTCTCAGAAATGGCAGCCACATGTTACATTTTAGTCTGAAAGTACCAAACTGCAAGTGTTTAATTTTAATGGCATATCAAATAGCCCACCTAATGAAAACATATTAACAATTCTAATAGGCACAAGAGTTTTATTTGCTGGGTTGTATTATGACTCTATAAATTTTAATGGCATTTAATTAGATTGCAAAGAACTTTCAAATATTTTGACTATCCTTCATTCTTTCCATTAAAAATGCATTATCTTTTTTTCTTTTTTTTATAACTTTTTTTTTGCATTATCTCCTTTCTATACTTAGGTATACTTTCCTACTTTATCAGAACTTAAGTCATTTAATGAATACACATTTATTGAGTATCTTCTACATGCCAGACATTCAGTTAAATAACAGAGATACAAAAACCAGGAAGGTGCTATTCTTGCCTTAGAAATCAATCACACTTATAACTAAATAAGAAATGTGAAAACTGCTACAAAATACAGGTAAAACTTAGTGGCAAGAAACCAGAGAAGGAAGATTTAATTATACTTAAGAGTTGGGAGAAACATCAAGAGTAACTTTATTTTTGTTTTTGTTTGGGATGGAGTCTCATTCTGTCACCCAGGCTGGAGCGCAGTGGCGCAATCTCGGCTCACTGCAACCTCCACTTCCCAGATTCAAATGGTTCTCCTTCCTCAGCCTCCTGAGTAGCTGGGATTACAGGCTCCCGCCACCACTCCCGGCTAATTTTTTGTTTGTTTGTTTGTTTGTTTGTTTAGTAGAGACAGGGTTTCACCATATTGGTCAGGCTGGTCTCGAACTCCTGACCTCAGGTAATCTGCCTGCCTCAGCCTCCCAAAGTGATGGGATTACAGGTGTGAGCCACCATGCCCGGTCATCAAGAGTAACTTTAAAAGACAGTGACACGTGAACTGGGTCTTGAAGGATATACAACAATTCTGAAAAAGGTGAGAGAATGTCCCAGAGGTGTGATCTGTATGGAAAGTTCCAGAAACTGTGATGTGGCTCAAGTAAGGGGGTAGGGATAAGGGGACTAGGAAAATAGAAGGCTGGAAGGGTTAACTGAGGCCTCATATACCAGGGGCAACCAGGTGAACTTTATCTTCTAGAATGTTATAGAAATGTGAACGCTGTCTAAACAGGGAAGTGACGTAACAGTTGCGACATACAGGATGAATCTGAGATTTTGGAGGTGAGGGTTTGGGTGGAGAAAGAGACCATTCCCCATGGTCTCTGTTTTTGCACGTCTTGCAAACAAGTCATTGGAAAACTTTGTTTCAGGAAATCTTTTCCAGGATATTTGCAGCAAGAGGCCCTGTGAGAGGGAGACGCCTCCACCCACAGCAAAGGCCAGGCACGATTTCTGTCTAGTGTAACTAACTCACGCTCCCTGAACTCAGGATTCCTTTTCTGTAACTCAACCAGCTGCATGTGTAGGTGTCATCTGCCCCTTCACATTGTCCTCTGAGAACTGGGGCTCAGAGAATTGGCACTACAGCCAATCTCTACAGCTACAGCCATTTCTTTGACTACTAAACTGTCCCTCTTTACCCTAACTGCAGGCTAACTTACTAGCTTGCCAATAGGGTAAAAATCTCAGACCCTTTAGTTTTTGACAAGAGACGAGTAGAAGCTACAGGAGGTCAAAAATAATGAGGACTTGTGTTTGCAGAGAGCCCACAGGAATGCAGAGCAAACCACAGCAACTGTCACTTAATCAATGTCAGGTGTACTTAGAACTTGCCAAATGGAGATCTTATAAAGAATAGAGAGAAGACTGGAGCAGACCACTGATAAGATGGGAATGGAAGGAATTAAGAGGGACCCTTGTGGAACTAACTCCAAAACCAAAAAGGAAATTTTTAATACATATCCATATAAAGGCCCCTTATCTGCAAAGACTGCACCCTGAATGACTTTCACCTCCTTTAACCAAAGGCAAATCTACTTCTCTAGCTACCTTTCTCACTCAGAGATGGATTTTAATACTAAGCACCATTTGATTTAGCCCAGTAAATTAAAATTTAAGCCTCAATTAGGAGGCATGTTATAAAATTGTTGTAGCTATTATGTGATTATTTTTATTTTATTTTATTTTTTGTAGAGATGGGGTCTTGCTATGTTGTCCAGGCTTGTCTGAAACTCCTGACCTCAAACGCTCCTCCCCCCTCAGCCTCCCAAATTGTTGGAATTACAGGCATAAGCCACCACACATAGCCCATTTATGGACATTTTAAATAGACATAACTCCATTGTCGTGAACCCAATCATGCTTCTTACCCAGCAACTCATACAGAGAATTCAGAATGGATTTCCAAGACTCCCCTGCTTCTCGCCCAGCAACATCAGCAAAGTGTGCTGCACTGCTGTAGACGTGCAATCGGTCTATGCACTCGAGCACGAGGTTGATCATTCCCTGGAGGGTTAAAAAAAAAAGACATCTAAAACTGTCATTCTGCTTACAGACTAAAGATGCTAAGCTGATTTAAAAATAGAAGTCTGGCTGGAGGTTCACCTACTAATCATAAAGAAAACTGTGATCATTCAAAGGACAGGAAGACACACGTTTGCATGTGAAATGAAATGTTCTTCAGATAATTCAAGTGGATTTTAAATTCTGAATGTCATCATCAAACAGTGGAAGAACAACCTACAAACATGTACTTCATACTTATGGCATTCTATTGTTAAGTGACCGTAAGAGCAGATCCTTATTCTTAGATAGGCATTATTATTATTATTATTATTATTATTATTATTAAATTAAAGACATAGTAAATCAGGTAAAGTTCATGAAAAGGTATTTTTAAAGCAAATCAAAAATGCTATAATGCATTTTTGCATTATAATGAACTTTGTAAGATACAGCCTGAGATTCAAATTATGCTTTATTGTTATTGGTAGATCAAGGTTGTAAAAAGTGTGGCAAACCACATAAAGAGCTATAAACCACTATCTAATCCAACTAATTTATTTCACACAGAATTTAAGAGATACCATGGACCTAAGTACATTTCCAAGTCGCCATCCAGATTGTCTTATATGAGAAGTTGGGAAAAAAACTAAATTAATATTTTAATTTTTACAACGCAATATTTAATTTTACTTCTTCCAGATATTAAATCAATGCAGCATTGTAACAGAGTCTAACAATCTGGCATATGTGAAAGCTCCCAATAAACTTGTCCATGTTATTATTGGTTTATGTTGATACTTTTTTGCTTTCGTGCCATTGAGGTCTCCAGATAGGTCATTTCTTTTGAATACCCAGTGGGAATGTCCTCAAAAAGTTATGTCAGTTTCAAGAGTTTCTGATGAGATATTAGAAAACAGCTTTAAAAGTAGACAGGGATTATGAGAACCTAGTAATAACACTTTTTGATTTTGTTTTTTAGTTTTATTTCTCTCTGTCACAACTTTTATTTTAGGCTTTGGGGGTTACATGTGCAGGTTTGTTACGTGGGTACATTGTGTGTCACAGGTTTGATGTATAAACAATTTCATCACCCAGGTAATGAGCACAGTACCTGACATGTAGTTTCTCGAACCTTGCCCTCCTCCCACTCTCCTCCCTCAAGCAGGCCCTGGTATTTATTGTTCCCCTCTTTGTGTCCATGTGTACTCAATGAATAACCTGTTTTGTTACTTTTACAAAGCTAAGTATTTATTCCAAAAAAAATCATTATTCTCCATACAAGATGCATTGAAAAGAATGGGAATCCAGCTGAACTAGCCTGATTTATCCCACCAACCCTGGTAGTCTCCATTGAAGCTTCTGACTATATTAGAACATTAGATATATCATTTGGTCCTTCTTTAATTGCTTATAAAATACGACACTTGAGTTCTTTTTAGCAGTGAAACTTTTGGTGTAAGACAATCATACATGGAAATGTAATAGATGCAAAGGGGAAGGGTAGGGTTGCTCTGTCCAAGTAGGGTCCCTGGAGCTCAGCCTACTCCGGTAGCCCTCTCTTGACAGCTTCCATCCCCAACACAACGCTTCCTATATATCCCGGGCCATTTCCCAGGAGCACCCGAGAACCTGCTGAATAGTTTGAAAACCCTGATGCTTTCTAAAGTCTGTATTCTTACAGACACTTTAAGATTCTTAACTGATATAACCCACATGAAGAGAGCTTGCAAAAGACCAGGGTGAGGGCTGAGCGGAGGGTAAATGTCTCTTGCCAGGAGAATGAAAAGATTCATGTTTTTAAATAATATTCATGGATAGTATAAATAAATAAAAACCGTGTCTAGATTTCTCTAAGGCCTGTTTCTCCTGTTCAGTAATATACATTCTCCTCTATATTGCAAAATGCAAAGATGGGCACATAGATGGAGAATTTTCCCAACCAAGAAGCTGTTTTTACAAGAGAACAACAGAAGAGAAGTGAGTGTGGACAGAAACGCACCTCTTCCTGGAAGAGATTTTGCCGATTCTTCAGGGCTCGTAGTCTGTTCTGTTTGTCTTCATGTTCTAAATGCTCATCGGGCGGGTGAAAGTAGCCAATGAGATCCTGCAGACTTAGACTCACGGATTCTATCGGCAAATCGACGGTGGAAGCCTTCGCTTTCTTGCTGAGAGCATCGAGGCCCCTAAAATAAACCATAAACATTTCTCTATTGTCGGTGATTCACAACTGTATCATTTTTCCATTTATGGATGATTTCAGAGATTAATCTCTCTCCCTACACCACTGTAAAAGGGACATGTCAGAAAGGTCCTCCTGCTCCTCAAGCAGCGATAAGGAATTCTAATTCAAGTCAGAAACTGTGTAATGTTATGTTATAAAAACCAGTATCCACGGCCAGTCATCTAGAGAATAACCTTATAGGCCACAGGAACAGTGCCTACAAAACCAATAGTCGAAATGTTCAGAAACCAGTTGATTTTCACTGGAAAGCTACACACTTTAAAGATTCAGGCTGCATCTTCCCAGATTCATAATTCTGACATTTCCTTGTGTTTTGTTTTCGAAAAGGAATGCCTAAGTTTTCACGGACCGTAGCTTGCCATTCTGTTTAATTCCTGTGAGTTCAAAAATATATTCTAATGATGTTAATTTAGAAAATTTGCTTATTAATCAGTAAATATATATTAAAATGCTTTTCTATTCTCTGAAAGAAAGGCATTTAAAAATTATATTAACAAAAACATCATGAAGTATTTTCTAACCTGGGAAGAAAGGTACATCACTGGCATGTAAATGTGTTAATTTGTTGAGCTTACTGAGATTCTCAGTTTTTAAACTCATAGCTTTGAATGTATCTGAAAAGAACTTTAAAACATGATGTCTACAAATCAAAAGTATTTCGAAATAAAACGATTCTAAAAAGCACAATGCATACAATAAAAGAATGGGACAGTACCTCTACTGTAGTTGATACCATAATATTCTATAGCCATGACAAGTCGTTAATGCATAGAAATATTACACTTCCATTCCTGCTCTCTGTATCAGCAAAACTGTATGCTAACATTTTATCCCAAGCAAATGTTTCTAATTTTCTGACTATGTTGGAACTTACATTATAAAACAATAAAATACTCATGAATGAGAATTAGCTGTGAACTTTATAGTTTTAAAATATTATTTAAAATGTGTCATCACTTCCACAAAGATTGCTAATGATTTTGGAATATTTGATTTCAGCCTTATCAAACAGCAGAAATCGTAAAACCATACAACTATTTTAAAGTTTTTGCCTGAAGTTCTATATCAGTTATATCAACTGATCTTGGAGGTAGAATTCATCTACCCCCAAGTTTTATCGCCTCTATAAGTTTTTCTGTACCCAAAAAGCAAGAGTGACTTTTCAGTAGAAAATTATTTTTTTCCCCTTTAACAAGAAAATTTCACATGTAATGAAGTATTTTTCTAAACATTTTACCCCATTAACTCCAATTAAACATAAATAAATGTATAACAAATTCAAACTCAACTCTTAATAAGTGAATACAATTCAAAAATGATTCAGTATCCACATTTTCAAATTTAAGTGAAAACAACAGTAAATGTCAGTCTTTAGGTTATTATATTGAAATAAACATATCTACCATGAGGAATGTAACTATTCAATTACTTTGTAAGAGAAATCTCTTGTCAGAAGAAATATTGTCCAAACTTCTACAATTATTAATTACGTTATGTTTTAGGGCTTTCATCTAATAAAGAGATGAATATCATCTTAATTTATCGTGAACAAAAAATATAATCAGGGAAAAAAAAATCATCCAGAAATCCAAAAGTAGTAGAATCACCCTATGCCAGAGTAAAAATGAAAGCTATTAACCCTATGGCTACATTTTGTAATTTAAAGATTAAACTATATTATTACCTAACAAATAGAGGTTCCTCCCCTCTCTCATTTACTTCAAGAATATGTTTATGAATATATCCAGAAGAAAAATGAAAACATATATAGTACATATAAAACATATGATGTTATATATATTTATTGTCTATATTTGTTACACATTATATATAGTATATACTATTAGTATATACTAATAGTATATGCTGATATAGCATATTATTAATGTATAATATACTCTATAGTGTATAGCATACACTATATTATATAATGTATAATATATACTATATATAGTATAGCATATACTATTGTTATACTATTAGGTAGTATAGTATATAATACACATACTACTATATACTATTAATTATATATACTATCATATAAAATAGTATATATAATATATACTATACTGTACATTATAATATACTATATAATATATCCATTATAATGTATAATTACATATAATATATATGTTTATACACTTCCATGTATACACACACATTATGTATTACTTAAATGCTCATGGTATTACTATTAGAAATATACAACACACATTTTATATATTTTATATATATTTTTTATATACATATATATTCTATATACATATGTATTTTTTTTCCCCACCCCAGGCCAAAATAATAGAGCCCCCTCCCCTGCAGACAACACAAATGCGCACACACACACACACCATATACACACACACACTCAGTACTACCACCACCACAAAAGACAGAAGAGAAGGGTCTCAGAACATAAACCACATAAGAAAAACACAAATGATTAAATAATATTGACTTTCTTTCTAAAAGGTAAAAATTTTAAAACTAGCATCTTAATACAAATTAAGTAAATTGGCATTAATAAAATTAATAGTAAAAAATAACTGAAAAATACTTGGGTGAAAATATTGTAAAAATACTGAGATTTTAAAGACTTGGTACTTTCACGAATGTGATAAAACGAATAAAATTTTTATTTAAAAGCATATGCTCTTTAAAATGCTCAGTAATCATGTAAAACTTTTCAAAGCTTCTGAACATATTAAAAAATCACATAAATTCAGGACTTCTAATTGTTTTTTTTTTTAGACAGAGTTTCACCCTGTCACCCAGGCTAGAGTGCAGTGGTACAATCTCGGCTCACTGCAACCTCTGCCTCCTGGGTTCAGGGTTTAAGCGATTCTCAAGCCTCAGCCTCCAGAATAGCTGGGATTACAGGTGCATGCCCACCACATCCAGCTAATTTTTGTATTTTTGGTAGAGATGGGGTTTCGTCCCTGTTGGCCAGGCTGCTTTCAAATTCATGACCTCAAGTGACGTGCTGGCCTCAGCCTCCCAAAGTGCTGCGATTACAGGTGTGAGCCACCACACCCAGCCCAATTTGCTACTTTGTTAGCCTTATCATTTTACTGGTTGGGTAGCATTCTGTTGTATAGAATGTAGAATACAATATAGTTTACTCTCTGTTGATAAACTCCTGGCCTCAAGTGATCCACCCACCTTGGCCTCCCAAAGTGCTAGGATTATAGGTGTGAGTAGTCACCGCTGTGCCCAGCCTAAATTTGGGACTTATAATAGGTAATACTCATGTGCATTTAAGTAAAACTTGTAAAGTAAAAAAGTAAATATATATATATGCAATATAAACATGATTACTGGA